ATGATGATGATGATGATGATGATGATGATGATGATGATGATGATGATGATGATAACGGTCTATTTTTGCCAGATATGCTGTTTTGCTTTTCCAAATACCAATCGTGTTGTTGATGCTATCAGTGATTTTGACTTCGGAGATGATTCTAAGGTTTTTGTTACTCTTATAGTTGGCTGGATGAATTGAAGCTTTTATTACTTATATCGTGCTCCCTTGGAAAAAATCTACACAGAAAGAGTTCTTTAATGGGCATGAAAGGTGTTGAGCCAAAAAAAACCCCCAAAAATTTGATAAAAATTCACAAAACTGCGGAAAAATGCAAGTTTCTTCACTTTGATTATTTTGACGAGAGCCTGATTCCACCACACTGCCTCACATTTGGGAAGCGTTTTCACACAAGATGGGCGTATGGACAAAGAAATAGAAACAAGAACTATAAAAGTAAATGCAGTGACCTACCAGCTAGCACCCCTGCTCAGTCACAAGAGCATCCCAACCGAAGTGAAATCCCAGCTCATCAATAGCATCATCTTCATACCAACATTAACATACCAGTGCCAGACATGGTCTCGAAACAAGGCACAAGAAAGAAAAATCAATTCATGCAAAATGAGGTGTCTCCGCAAAACTATCAACGTCACCAGAAGAGACCGCATAAGAAACAAAACCATACGTCTACGAACTCAAATACCACCAGTAAAACAGTTAATAGAGCGTCAAAGAGTCAAATGGTTTGGACGTCTAACTAGAATGCCCCTGAAATAACTAGATCTATCGGCTAGAGCTTACAACACCCGAGAATTTGGCTTCACATCAAGAGGAAGACCAAGAAAGACCTGGCTTGATGGGGTTAAAAAGGTCCTGGAACAACATAACATATCTATCACAGACGCTACACACCTAGCACAGGACCCAAACTTGCACCTCCCCTCGACATCCTAAGGATACCAGAGGAAGGAACAAGTGAGTGAAGTAAGTAGTTAATCCAACCATTGGCGCTCATATGACCTTTTACAGTTGCGAGCACCGTAAAACACGTTCCAAAAACTATTTAAAAACTGTTTTCTTTGGCAGGTTGCTTGGTTTGATGACTTGAACACAATCCAAGAAGCTCCCCATTCTAACGAGAGCTCCATATACAACAGAACTGACTCAGCGAGGTAAGATAGATAGATAGATAGATAGATAGATAGATAGATAGATAGATAGATAGATAGATAGATAGATAGATTGATAGATAGATAGATAGATAGATAGATAGATAGATAGATCGATGGATAGATAGATAGATAGATAGATAGATAGATAGATAGATAGATAGATAGATAGAT